CTAACGTCCCTTCTGAAACCCTAGAAAAACAATAGTTTTGGACAAGGTTTTATTATAGTTTTCAACCAATTTTTATACCACTGTTTGTACAATGAGACATAGAACCCTCCTGTTGCTCCTGTTGCTGCTGCTGCTCTTCCTCCCGAGGCTGAAAACGCCCCCTCCCGGACGGGGAAACACAGTGGCCCTGAAGGACGGAACAGCGCCAAAATCGAGCCCAAAAAGTGCCTAACGTCCCTTCTGAAACCCTAGAAAAACAATAGTTTTGGACAAGGTTTTATAGTTTTCAACCAATTTTTGTACCACTGTTTGTACAATGAGACATAGAACCTTTCTGTTGCTCCTGTTGCTGCTGCTGCTCTTCCTCCCGAGGCTGAAAACGCACCCTCCCGGACGGGGAAACACAGTGGCCCTGAAGGACGGAACAGCGCCAAAATCAAGCCCAAAAAGTGCCTAACGTCCCTTCTGAAACCCTAGAAAAACAATAGTTTTGGACAAGTTTTTATAGTTTTCGACCAATATTTATACCACTGTTTGTACAATGAGACATAGAACCCTCCTGTTGCTCCCGTTGCTGCTGCTGCTCTTCCTCCCGAGGCTGAAAACGCACCCTCCCGGACGGGGAAACACAGTGGCCCTGAAGGACGGAACAGCGCCAAAATCGAGCCCAAAAACTGCCTAACGTCCCTTCTGAAACCCTAGAAAAACAATAGTTTTGGACAAGGTTTTATAGTTTTCGACCAATTTTTATACCACTGTTTGTACAATGAGACATAGGACCCTCCTGTTGCTGCTGCTGCTCTTCCTCCCGAGGCTCAAAACGCACCCTCCCTGACGGGGAAACACAGTGGCCCTGAAGGACGGAACAGCGCCAAAATCGAGCCCAAAAAGTGCCTAACGTCCCTTCTGAAACCCTAGAAAAACAATAGTTTTGGACAAGATTTTATAGTTTTCAACCAATTTTTATACCACAGTTTGTACAATGAGACATAGAACCCTCCTGTTGCTCCTGTTGCTGCTGCTGCTCTTCCTCCCGAGGCTGAAAACGCACCCTCCCGGACGGGGAAACACAGTGGCCCTGAAGGACGGAACAGCGCCAAAATCGAGCCCAAAAAGTGCCTAACGTCCCTTCTGAAACCCTAGAAAAACAATAGTTTTGGACAAGGTTTTATAGTTTTCGACCAATTTTTATACCACTGTTTGTACAATGAGACATAGAATGAGACATAGAACCCTCCTGTTGCTCCTGTTGCTGCTGCTGCTCTTCCTCCGGAGGCTCAAAACCATAGAACCCTCCTGCTGCTCCTGTTGCTGCTACTCTTCCTCCGAATGCCGAACATAACTTCTGAAACCCATAGAAAAGAAGAAGGATGGAACGACCTCCAAAAACATGCTCCCGAGGCTTGACGTCTCTTCTGGATTCTGGTAAAAACAAAGCGCCTGCTGCTGCAGATGCTTTTGCTGCTGCTGCTGTTGGTCCTCGGATGGGAACATAACAGCTGCTACTGCTGCTCCTGCTGCTGGTGCTGCTGGAGCAGGTGCTGCAAGCCTCCGAAACACACCCTTCGCCACACCGAAACACTGTACTGCAGCTGCTGCTGCTGCTGCTGGTGATAGTTTTCAACCAGTTTTTGTACCACTGTTTGTAAAATGAGACATAGAACCCTCCTGCTGCTCCTGTTGCTGCTGCTGCTCTTCCTCCCGAGGCTCAAAACGCACCCTGCCGGACGGGGAAACACAGTGGCCCTGAAGGACGGAACAGCGCCAAAATCGAGCCCAAAAAGTGCCTAACGTCCCTTCTGAAACCCTAGAAAAACAATAGTTTTGGACAAGTTTTTATAGTTTTCAACCAATTTTTATACCACTGTTTGTACAATGAGACATAGAACCCTCCTGTTGCTCCTGTTGCTGCTGCTGCTCTTCCTCCCGAGGCTGAAAACGCACCCTCCCGGACGGGGAAACACAGTGGCCCTGAAGGACGGAACAGCACCAAAATCGAGCCCAAAAAGTGCCTAACGTCCCTTCTGAAACCCTAGAAAAACAATAGTTTTGGACAAGGTTTTATAGTTTTCGACCAATTTTTATACCACTGTTTGTACAATGAGACATAGAATGAGACATAGAACCCTCCTGTTGCTCCTGTTGCTGCTGCTGCTCTTCCTCCGGAGGCTCAAAACGCACCCTGCCGGACAAGGAAACACACTGGCCCTGAGGGACGGAACGCTGCAAGCCTCGAAAACACACCCTTCGCCACACCGAAACACCATGCTACTGAAGGATGGAACGACCTCCAAAAACATGCTGCCCCGGGGCTTGACCTGCTGCTGCTGCTGCTGCTCGCTGCTGGCTGCTGCTGCTGCTCCCGCTGCTGCTGCTGGTGGTGTGTGCCCCGAAGAACAACATTTTTGCAGCTACTGCTGTTGGTGGTGGTGCAGGCGTCCGCTGCGCTGCTGTTGCAGCTATTCTTGCTGTTCCTGCTACTGTACTGCAGCTGCTGCTGCTGCTGCTGGTGATGCTGGTGCTGGCGTCTGCTGATGCTACTGCTGCTGCTGCTGCTCCTGCTGCTGGTGCGGCTAAACTTGCTTGTCTTTGCTTTACTTCTTCTCCTGCTGCTGCTGCTGCGCCTGCTGCGGTAGTAGTCCGAAACAAGGCTGAAAACGCACCCTCCCGGACGGGGAAACACAGTGGCCCTGAAGGACGGACCAGCGCCAAAATCGAGCCCAAAAAGTGCCTAACGTCCCTTCTGAAACCCTAGAAAAACAATAGTTTTGGACAAGGTTTTATAGTTTTCAACCAATTTTTATACCACTGTTTGTACAATGAGACATAGAATGAGACATAGAACCCTCCTGCTGCTCCTGTTGCTGCTGCTGCTCTTCCTCCCGAGGCTGAAAACGCACCCTCCCGGACGGGGAAACACAGTGGCCCTGAAGGACGGAAGAGCGCCAAAATCGAGCCCAAAAAGTGCCTAACGTCCCTTCTGAAACCCCAGAAAAACAATAGTTTTGGACAAGGTTTTATAGTTTTCAACCACTTTTTATACCACTGTTTGTACAATGAGACATAGAACCCTCCTGTTGCTCCTGTTGCTGCTGCTGCTCTTCTTCCCGAGGCTGAAAACGCACCCTCCCGGACGGGGAAACACAGTGGCCCTGAAGGACGGAACAGCGCCAAAATCGAACCCAAAAACTGCCTAACGTCCCTTCTGAAACCCTAGAAAAACAATAGTTTTGGACAAGGTTTTATAGTTTTCAACCAATTTTTATACCACTGTTTGTACAATGAGACATAGAATGAGACATAGAACCCTCCTGTTGCTCCTGTTGCTGCTGCTGCTCTTCCTCCCGAGGCTGAAAACGCGCCCTCCCGGACGGGGAAACACAGTGGCCCTGAAGGACGGAACAGCGCCAAAATCGAGCCCAAAAAGTGCCTAACGTCCCTTCTGAAACCCTAGAAAAACAACAGTTTTGGATCAAGTTTTGGACAAGGTTTTATAGTTTTCAACCATTTTTTATACCACTGTTTGTACAATGAGACATAGAACCCTCCTGTTGCTGCTGCTGCTCTTCCTCCCGAGGCTGAAAACGCACCCTCCCGGACGGGGAAACACAGTGGCCCTGAAGGACGGAACAGCGCCAAAATCGAGCCCAAAAAGTGCCTAACGTCCCTTCTGAAACCCTAGAAAAACAATAGTTTTGGACAAGGTTTTATAGTTTTCAACCAATTTTTATACCACTGTTTGTACAATGAGACATAGAACCCTCCTGTTGCTCCTGTTGCTGCTGCTGCTCTTCCCCCGGAGGCTCAAAACGCACCCTGCCGAACAAGGAAACACATTGGCCCTGAGGGACGGAACGCTGCAAGCCTCTAAAACACACCCTTCGCCACACCGAAACACCATGCTACTGAAGGATGGAACGACCTCCAAAAACATGCTGCCCCGGGGCTTGACCTGCTGCTGCTGCTGCTGCTGGCTGCTGCTGCTGCTGCTGCTCCCGCTGCTGCTGCTGGTGGTGTGCTGCCCCGAAGAACAGCATTTTTGCAGCTACTGCTGTTGGTGGTGGTGCAGGCGTCCGCTGGGCTGCTGTTGCAGCTATTCTTGCTGTTCCTGCTACTGTACTGCAGCTGCTGCTGCTGCTGCTGGTGATGCTGGTGCTGGCGTCTGCTGATGCTACTGCTGCTGCTGCTGCTCCTGCTGCTGGTGCGGCTAAACTTGCTTGTCTTTGCTTTACTTCTCCTGCTGCTGCTGCTGCGCCTGCTGCGGTAGTAGTCCGAAACAAGGCTGAAAACGCACCCTCCCGGACGGGGAAACACAGTGGCCCTGAAGGACGAACCAGCGCCAAAATCGAGCCCAAAAAGTGCCTAACGTCCCTTCTGAAACCCCTGCAGCGGTAGTAGTCCGAAACAAGAATCCAAAGTATTATTCCCTGGCGCGCCCCCCCTTGCGTCTGCCGGGGTCGGCGGATATATATATATATATAATTATATATATATATATCGCTTACATATTATCGATATACCCAATATATACCCAATATATATATAAATAAATATATGTATAAATAAAAATATATATATAAATATATATAAATATATAAATTATATATATATATATAAATAATATATATATATATAAGCTGCTGGCTACTGGCCATTGCTCGTCTTTGCTTGTCTTATTCCCTGGCGCGCTCCCCCTTGCGTCTGCCGGGGTCGGCGGATATAACACTCATCATGTACAACCTGCTGCTGCAGCTCTTTGGGGTCAAGTTGATGAGCACCGCTCTTGCCAATGGGGTTTCCAGTCGAATTTCACTGGCTTTGTTGTGGAAAGCCTTCGAGAACTTTCCATATCACTCCCCTCGGTGTTTTGACCTGCTCGTTCTCGACTGGATTGGCACATCCCTTCTATTCTGCTTGGCATTTGGTTGGGCTTCTGCTGGGACCTTCGCATCTACTTGCACCGAAGGGCCATCAAACTTTGTGTCCAGCCTCCTCTTGGCATGGACGTCCTCTGTTCCAGCTCGTTTAGCCTGGGCATGGAACAACGCGTTGTCTCCTCAGAAGAGGCCTTTGACGAGCTTTCTGGGGAGGCGCGATACTTGTGCGCTGAACACAAGCTGGACAGGCACAAGCAGGAAGGAATCCTTGCAAGCTCCTTCGAAAGGTGAGCCGGCGTGGAAATCTAGGACCTCCAGCAATGAGGAAGGCCCGGCCTACCACCTCGCTGCGAGCTTTTCCGGCTTTTTGGGTGGGGCGGCACTGAGACCGCGCCCCACAGTTGGGAGCCCTTCAGTCACATCCTCGGGCTCATCTTCAAGCAAGCGCGCTCTGACTTGGACGCAGCAAGAGGCTGTGTGTGATCAGATTGCCGAGCACAATCAAGCTGGGAAGCCGCGTGTGGCTTGTCTTCGAGGATTTTGACGGCTACGAGCACGACCCGGTGATCGTCGAACCTTTGCTGCTTGCCTGGCTCTGGTCAAGAGAGGAGAAAAATGTTTTCATTGTTGTGCTTGGGGTATGCTGACGCTTGAGCATTGCGGATGAAATGGATGGAATTGGGTGACGTGACTGGGGGCAGATGGCTCGTTGGAGCAAGAGTTCACAGCTTGTTGCTGTGTCACCCCTCTCAAGGAAAAATTCAATGCATTGAGAGCTCCAAGGTTCGATGAGAAGTACCCCTTGGTTGTGCCTCACCAGGTCTGGCATCTGCAAAGCGGGTGGCCCCGCTTCAAGTTTTTGCCAAGCCCACTTTGGTCGACTTGGCTTGCGCCAACAAGGAGGACCGATCTGTCTTTGGTTGAGAATCGTGCGAACTTGTGTTGGCTACGTTACCGAGCAAATTCGCTGGTGCCCGTGACTCCGTTGGCTGTGGCTTCGGGGTTGCGATAAGGCCGCAGCGGACAGCATATAGCTGAAACTCTTCGAGACCACTTCGCCTTTTTGAGTGCAGATTCTGCGACGGTCCTCCTGATGTTCCTGCTCCAGAGCCTGGGTGTCTGATCGGGTTGCAAAGCTTGAGGAGCTTTTGCATGGCATGTCTGAGAACGCGAATATCCTGCTAAATCTCTAAGCGAAGAAAGCAGCTGCGCCGGGAAAAGCGGCTTCTTGCCGATTTCAAATGTTCCTCTTTGACCTGGATCTGAACCAGCCGCTTCCAAGGCTCCGACGCTGGAGTAGCTGCTGCTGCCCTTAGCGCTGGGGTTCGTGAGGAGAACCTCTACGAGATGCAAAGGCTGCTGGCGCTTGATCCATCAGGTTGGAAGAGGCTACGGGGACCAGCCAGTGCATTGCGCAAGCTGACGGAGCTTATGACGGTCCTCTCTGCAGACAAAGTCAAAAGATCTACCAGTCAAAGATTCACTTGGCCCTTGTGATACTGCAGAAGCTGTTTGCCACTCTGAAGTTGGAGGGGTTAATGGACTGAAGGGTGCCTGCTGCACGTAGGGCCCTTCGCACCGCCTGAGAGTCAGTCGCAAGTTCCCAACATGCCCTCGAGTGCTGAATCCTCGAGCCTAGCTTGAGCATCGCTCGAGGATGACGTCGTACCGAGCTGCATGGTGCGCACTGTGCATGGGGAGTTTGTTCCCTGGAGATCTTATCAATGGGCGTGTCGGAGCGTCGTGCGGGCCACAGCGCGCGCTGGCTTTTTGATCTTGCAACCGGATCACTGCGCCATTGATAAGGGCAGTTGGACCCTCTCCAGTGAATTATCTCTTGAGTGTTGCAGTGTTGCCGATGGAGAGGCCCCTTTCAGCCATCTCCTTGACCGACGATGGCGCGGGATCATGTTAGCCCATCTGAGAGATGCTGATGACTATGCCACCCGGCGACGAAATCTTTCCTTGGTGACAATTCCAGGACCGATGCTGCAAAGCCCACACCGAAGGCAAAGTGCCAAAAGCCAAGAAGACGGCTGATGAGCCGTCTCATGGCTATAGTTCATATGTGTCTGGAGTGGTGCTCAGGTACGAAGTTGCGCTCAGCGGGTTGCTCTTGACATTTTGGTTTTGATGGTGGAGCTTAACGTTTTTTGGATGGCCTCTGGGCTGTTCTTTATGTATACGTGTGGTGATGAATGCATGAAGAAGGTTTTCTCCCAGACAATTGCCTGAGATGGAGTTCCGGCCCAAGTTAATTGTACTAGCATTCGCTCAAGCGTTGCTTTGCTGGCTTGCATTCCTCCCACAGCAGCAGCCCTGCCCTGCCGTTTGGGGAACTCTCTGGATGGCCCGCCCCCCTGGTGACTTGCTTGGCTTGGAGTTTGGCTGCCTTCACTTTCCTTTGGGCTCCTCGCAAGCTTTCGAGGCGACAACGGCAATAGATAGTTAGTTTGAGTCCCCTAGAGACTGTTGAATTTTTTCAGAGCTTTTTTAGAGGGCTTCGGCTTTCTGCATCTCCCTGTCGCTGCAGTCTTCCGACTATGATCTTGGCTTCTGCTCTTAGCCCCTCTTGGGTTTGGAGTTGCCCTGTGGCTCATTCCCTTTTCGGGCCGCTGCTTGAGTGACCTGGCCCACTGAAGGATACAGCGCATGGCCTTGCACCTGCGCGCCTCTCCAGCTTGCTGCCTATGCCTTGTGTAACTTCGTTTTTTTTGCTTGCCGCGCTCTTTGTTTTCTAGCTTGGCAACGCTGCAAACCGAAGTTGGCCAAAGTGGCCGCTGTGGACGTCAGACTGCGCCTTTTTTGGCGCTGTGGAAGCAAAAAGGATTGCCAATGCCTGCGCCTGCTTACCAGTGTGATCTCATGTGCAGTTGGAGGGTGGGTTCATATATACACACACATATATATATATATATGCATACATAGGCACACACACACATACGTGCGTGCGCACGTGCATGCATACATACATACATACATACATACATACATACATACATACACACACATATGCATGCATGCATGCATGCTGCATGCATGCATACATACATACATGTACATCCACTCATTTCCCTGCACACTCAAAAGCGAAGCGCCCTTTTCTCTCGGTTGGCCGCCTGTGCAAAGCACTAGAAGGTTCCGGGGCGAACGTCGTGCTTTGGCAGCGGCTTTCCAGCTGTTGTGTGCACACGTTCAGGACGTTCCATGGCCGTATATGCATAAATCAATAGATAAATAAATATATATATATATATCTATATTATATATTCCTAAAATATGGGTACCCCAAACCATTGGTTTTCCCATTGACAACAACCAAATTTGGATGATTTTGGAATCCCTCATTTGAGGAACCCCTACATACATGTCCGCATTCATACAAATATATATGTACATGTATGTATGTATATGTCAAACATCTTGCACAGGGATGGGTGTGCAGGGCGGACTTGTTCGCTTAGGTCCAAACATCTGTCTTCGTTGCTGACCGCTCGACACTTGCATCACTCACCTGAACGTCGCCACGAAAATGGTGAGGTCGCAGAGGACTGTAATATCCTCAGCGGTGGATGGCCTTGTAGACGGTCCATTGAGCAACGGAGGGCGCACCCACCTGCACGACTTGAATGTGCATAATGCGCTGTCATTCGTTTGGGCTTTGCGGTGTTGACATACCTTTCCCAGAACTGCAGATTCAAAACGTACGGATCCAGAATATTGGAGAATCCCAACAGATGGTCACCGATCATTTGCCCATTCCAAATGATCCAGGTTTTGATCCCCTATACTTCACTCATAGTTTTTGAATCTTCTTGCAGCATCCAGTCCAGGAGGTTTTTGGCAGCATCCAGGAAACTATCCCTCGCATCGGAAACACCTTGGTGCCCTACCGAGCCTCGGCAGGGAGTTGGATGTGCTCACAGGTGGATTTTGTTTGCGGGAAAAATGTGACCCTGCTGGCCATGTATGATATAAGTGGTACAAGATACATTGATCGAATCTTCGTGCCCCGTCCTAGCTGGAATGGATGGTCCCAGGAATCCATGAACCTGCTGCACATGCTCAGCGCATCTCTCAACTGTGCTATGATGCTTGGAGGAAGTGAAAACCATTTGCCCGACAGTCTTGGCGATGGCAGATCCTTTGTTGTTTCCAGGATGTGCTGGTGATGACAAAAACAACCAACTGTGGCAGCGTTAAGGAGAGATACAAAAAGAACGAAGATGCCATGGAGGCTGGTTTGGCAGCCAGGCCGGACGGGGGGATGGGACGGGAACTGCTTAAGCCATCGGCCAGTTGCCAGTTCACCCACTTCGGCCAATTCCAGGCTGGGAGACTTGACGGTCGCAAAGACACGAAGCACGTGGACACTGGACGCCTTTCATTTGCTGCCAAATGCATGGCGACCAACGTGGAAGGCCATGCCATGCCATGGCATGGTGATTGTGGCGCCCAAGCCCTCGCAAAGTGTTTAAAGTTGTAATTTGGAATCTGTTGTGAGCTGCCAAAGGTGGTTGTCTCCCCTTTTTGCTTGTCCATCCATGTCCCTATTTTTGTTAGTGGAGATTCAGGTGTATAGGGCGAATCATAGATGGTGGATGATGGGCCCACAGCTTGGGAAGTGCCAGGATGTAGCGACTGAAGCTGCAGTCAGCAAGTCGAATCTTGGCTCCAAGTTTAGTAGATGTAGATCAAACCTTTGGTCCCTGGTATCATTATTCTTTCTGGTTGACTTGTGATTGTGATACCCTTTTTGCTTGTATATCGCTATATACATACATACGTACATTACATTACTTTACAATACAGTACATTACATTTACATTTACATTTACATTTACATTTACAATCATTTACATTTACATTTACATGTTACATTTGCAATTGCAATTACGTTTACATTTTACATTTAGATTTACATTTACACGTGCATATTTGCATTTGGATTTGAATTTACAATGCATTACATCACAGTACAGTACAGTACGGAACAGTCAATTACATTATATGCACAATATGTATACAGTATACATTGCAATTTCCAGCTATGATTTGAATGTGATATCACTCCATCCTATCCGCGCCATCACACCTTGGAATCTCCAAGGAGCTTCCCCCTAGCGGCTGCCTCGGTGATTGCGGGGCGGACCGTCGCCAACGTCTTGCAACCCCGAAGCGTGTGGCCGGAGGAATGCGAGTCGCCTTGATGGAATCAGGGACCAAATGAGTCAGTCAGGAGGATTGTTTTTTACCGAACTTGGAACTCAGTGACCTGCAGTCTGAAGTGTCCAGAAACTGTACCAGACACTGAATCATTATAAATCCAGATGGCTACTCTGTAAGCCAACCCAAAGTATCTTCCTGCTATGGGGACTGCAAACTTCTCAATATGCATAGACTGCGCCCTTCGCACAACAATTTCGTGTCTTTTCGATCCAAAGGGCGTCCAGTCCAACCAAGTGTATGTCTGTATGTAGAGAGATGCCAAAAGGTAGAAAGTCAGCTGGCTCGCAGTCGCTACGGTAGACCGTGTTGGGTTCTCAAATCTGGATCCTCGTCGCATCTCACATCACTTCAGGTTGCAGAAACTATCCCAAGCCCTAGAAACCGGACCCTTGCTGGACTTGAAGGCTCTGGCGGATGTGTACATAATGGTGCTTGGGGCACAGCTCAATGACTCAATGATGTTGAAGCTTTTCCCAAGAGATCTTCACCAACAGAATCCTGTCTCACAGAAGAAAACATCCAAATCGTGCCTGAGTCTTTGCAGTGCAAATTTGCATACCATGAAGGTTTTTGATGGTTTTTGCAGGTTTCCCAAGCAGCCCAGCAGAGGGATCCACATTTTTTCCTCACACCGCCGGTGAGGCGTGGGTTCGTCTAGCGAATGCATCGTCGAGTCGGGCCGCCTGGCTGCAAGTTGTGGGAAAACCGTGGCAGGTAGGGAAGGCCGGGGATGCTTTGACCATCTCTGATGGAACTTGGCAAAAAGGATGGCAAGGCACGAGACCGAAATGCAATTTTGATGCACCGAACACTAGTTGAGCTTTTGTTCAATTCTAGATGGATGTCGCTTGTCAGCGACCCACCAAATTGGATGTTCTCTAGAATTCATCAGGTTTGAATTCTGCAAAGGCCCAACTTGCTGCACTTTCGTATGAAATCAGCCAAGGGCCGAAACACCACCGAAGTGTCCCAGTTGCCCACGATTCTCTCGATGCCGGAGAAGGTCGAGGAACAACCAGTGGGGTTGCATCAGTTTTTCATCCAGGTTCTGTGGTTGATAAGATGCATTCAGATGCTCTCTTTTTTGAACTGAAGCGCTTCAAATCGCTTCAACCGCCATTGTGCAGGTGCTGGCGGTGATTTTCCTGTTATATGATGTCAGTGTATCTTGGAATGAACGGGTCTCTAGCTTTGAGCTTGTTAAAGTGACACATGGCTAAGATTTGATTTCAAAATTTATATGGAGTTTTGGGAGGGCTGAGGACGATCTTTCTTGAGGGCTCTTGAGCATCCCACATTCTCACACATTCTGATGGTCCAGCCCAAGAACCCTTACATTTATGATGACGAAGTCACAATCTTTCATTGTCGCTTGGTTTCACCCCATTGAGGCCATCTCACAGATCGATCTGAGCAGTATGGGTTTGGAAGAAGTCCCAGCTTCCTTACGGGCCTTTCAAGGACACCATCGTCACTGCTTCAAACATGTGGCCATGGGGCGCCAGGGCATCGAGTTTCTTTCCCCACCCGAATAGGTGCTTTTCCCATCTTTTCCCATGATTTTTGTTCTCTTCTGGTCTCTTCTTGTTGTGATCTGATCCAGTGTGATGTGGCAGGAATACGCAGCATTGACCTGAGCCTTAACAGGACCTCCCTTGGGCCGTCACCTTGGGTGGGCGATGTTTGGACATAGATCGCAACCAGTATGGCCTGGCCAAAGACTTTGGGATTCAGCTTGGAGTTTTTTGCAAATAGCAAGAGCATGCACAAACACAGGAATTTCAACATATTTATCAACATCTTTTTTCAACGGGCAAAAAACTGCTGAATGGCGCATAATCGATCATAATCGACTCGATCGGACAGGTGATCGGGCTTTATCCATCATCCCACAGCGATTTTACGGACAGGAACTTGGTCAGCTTGGGGGCGCTGGCGGGCTTATCGTCTCTGGAAGCCCTGCGACTCTGCGGATGCTTGGAGCCTCAGCGTGGGATGCTTTCATGGACATCATGGACCAAGCAGCCAGTTGAGTGTGGCAATCAACTATTATTGCTGACTACACTGTGAATTAAACTTATGGATACTTATGTATCATGGCTATATTCATTTTTGTCCGACATCTTGGCTGGTTTCCACATTTTCCGCCATTTCTTTCTTTTTTTCTTCTCCAATTTGGTTTCATGTGTGGTTCTCGCCTCGGCTACACCGAGGTCAGAAGTTGAGCAACATCAAAGCCCTGAGTTTGTCGTTGCAACTGGTTGCCGTGGACTTCTCCGGCTGCGAGCTCTTGCATGACGTGACGCCGCTGCTGGGAGGGGGTGCCTTGGCATGGCGCCATGGCCATCATGGCCATTTGGGGTCAATGCTGGTGAATCCACTATGTTTCAGTTGGCCAGTTGACCCAAAAAATGGTTTGCAAAAAAGCAGTGGCCAGTGAAGGATACGGTGGTCTTACCACACTTTGTATGAATGAACATACCTTTTACTTGAAACTCGCCGGTGAAGAACGAAACAAGTGCAATCTGTTTCTCAGGATATGATCCGCCAGCTGATCGCATGGCTTATTTGCAGCTTGGATGGCTGATGTTCTTGGGGGCTGTGCGGGCCGAGCTGAATCATCTCCTTTGAGATGCCGCTGTGTAGCTTTGCATTCTTCCGTCACCAGGGTTTTGGGATTCTTCCACCCAGAACTAAATTCGCAGTGCCACCATCTTCCGCCATTGGAACTGCTTTGGCCTCCGAGGATTTCGACCCGCAGTCCTCATCCCAGTCGTGTAGGTCCTGCGAAGTGGCAGTGAAAGTTGTGTCAAGACGCTGTGGTTTATCTACACTCTCCAAACAACGGCATTGCTTTATTCTTATTTTTTATTCCACACTCAGCAATTCAACTCCACATTCTCAGCAATTGTGCCGAATAAACTGTTGACTGTTCAAACCAGTGGCGTAATTTCTTTCCATCTCTTTGTCGTCCTTGCTAGTGCGCATTCTCAACTTTGCAAGTCTCATTTGCGTGCAACTTTGAGAAGATGTTCACCCAGTCTTTCCAGGTCTTGTTCATAGTTGTGGTCCTGTTATTTTGGTCCAGGCAGAGTTGACAGCCCCACAAAGCTGCGTCCGGAGAAGGAGGTGCCATGGTGCAGACATGGCAAGGCCGAAAGGAAGATGGTACAGCTATGTTCATGATTCATACCCCCTTATATGATAAAATATACATATATGATTCAATGATAGGAAAACATATACACATACAGATATCACATGAAATCATGATAGTTTATATTATGATATTATATAACGACATATTTCTCGATGGAGATCCTATTGTCAATGTTGATGAATGTACTGTGAATATGACCATACATTGGTGTTGCTTCAACTGAACCCAAAGCGTAGAGAGTCGGGCCGCTCGAGGAGACCCATCTGGATCCAATGGCTATGTCCTAGCTGTACAGAGATGTATGAAGATGTAAATGTATCAAAAGATAATATCATGAGATAATAAAATATCCAAATTTAGGATTCCAGCAGGTCTTTGTTGGATCTAGCACTATCAGTGCATGTTCGAAGCTTTTCAGAGCCCAGGAGGTAGAGGATGATGTGCTGCTGAAGGGTCGAAAGCGAGATGAACTTGGGGAGCAAGACCTTTGGCCTCCACCTGTGAGGTGGGACTCATGGTGGACCTATACGTTGACAGGGTTTTGTAGGACCATTGATACCCCTGGCAGCTGTTCCAGGTTTTTCTGTTCCCGGACTTGGGCTGTGCAAGACGCGGACGAGAAATATAGTGATAAACACTACGCGCACAATAATGGAACGCCCTGAGATGGGCGAACATCTGGACTGCTGTCCCTTTTCAATGGATGTATCCCATGGTTTCTGTGTACCACTGTCTTTTCTGCGTCGCATCGGGCAGGCTACTGGGTCATCCTTCGCTGCGATACTCGGCAGTCGGCGACCGCCGTAGTGAAGTGTCATGGGGATGTCCTGTCAACGATTGAAGAAATAGGTTGTTATAAATTATGATAGTTATATATATATATGTTGTGTAATTATTGGGAATTCATATCCCATTCGTATCCCATTGAACCCATTAACATCCCATGAGTATTAGTCCCATTAATTAATGATATACCAGCAGTAGAGCCCTGGCAAGCCGGCTGGCGGGAGTTTCGAAAGGGGGGGAAGCCTATAAAGAAAAGGGAGAGCCTATAGGAACGGCGCCTGACCGCCTGGCTGTCACGGCCGTTGACCATCTCATCTCTTGGAACTCTTTCTCCTTGACCACTTTTCTTGATCCGGTTTAACCGGTTTGCCCTTGACATCTCTGAATCGTGACTGCCCTTCGCGTTGACAGCTGTGAAGCCCAAGACCTGACACACTCTTCTCTCCTGACAATGTTTTTTCTGATCTCATCGCTGTTTCTTGACACCGATTTCTTTTCAGCCGCTTTCCGTTAACGTCTCTTTCTCTTGATATCCCTATCTTTTGGCATCTCTTTTTTTCTTGAGACCTTCTTCTCTTGACATCCGATTCTGTTGACACGGTTTTTTCTTGACACCTTGTTGCATCCTTTTATTTTTCAGTTTTTCTTGAGATGTACTTATATATGTAAAAACGAAAGTGCTAAGTGGATCGAACTGCAAAGCTTGCACAAAGTACTTCCCAGTACTACATTGATCTACATTGTACTACAAGACTCGCGCCAAGCAAGTACTTCCCAGTACTGCTTTGTACTACAAAGCGTGCACAAAGCCTGCACAAAGTAGTTCCCAGTACTACTTTGTACTACACAAAGCTTTTACACACAGCGAGCTTTTACACAGAGAAGCTTTGACACAGAAAAGGTTCCCCACATCGTCCTATCGTTTGGAAGCATTTTACATACTTTATGCGAAAAAACAGGGCTTCGTGCGATTCCATCCCCACCAGCATCACCTTGACGAAGCAATTCCACTGATCTGCCATCACTGCCTTGCAAATCCCCATCGATCCGCGTCGCGATCTGCACGCCTGAAGCAGCCATTCCAATGCAAACTGGAGCACACGCGATCGCAGGCCGCACCCGTCGCACAAACCAGGTTCCCCACATCGCTGCCGGGAAGCACTTTGTGCGAAAAACCGCAGGGCTTGTGATTCCATCCTCACCAGCATCACCTAGACGAAACAATTTGACTGTGATGTGGTGATGTGGTGATTTGGGGATGTGGTGATTTGGGGATGTGGTGATGTGGTGATGTGGTGATGATGAGGTGATGTGGTGATGACGAGGTGACGAGGTGATGAGGTGATGTGGTGATGCGGTGATGTTGTGATGTGATGGTGATTGATTTTCTTCCCTGCCATATTTTCTGCATAACGGAGTTTGGACTTCTAAGCTTCCTTTGAGCATTACCGCTAAGTATCCGTTTATATCCCAGTAGTAATCCCATTGTGGCCAGTGCTACGCTGCGAGTTTGCGGCGTGAAACTGCTGCGGTTGTGGGAGACAGGGATTGCCTAGATGAGGACTCCACATATAGTTGAGGCTATGACCCGAATCACTTAGATCAACAATAGGGCCCAATAGGGCCCATATGGATCCATATGGCCAATAACAGCACTTATAGATACTTATAGTGATTCTAGTGGGCACATTGAGGCAAGGCTAAGACTTTGCGAATAGCACTGAGGATGGTTGTGCTTCAGTGGTTGCAAAGCGCTTCGTGGTGGCTTGGATCATTTGCCTCGGTGTCCTGAGCTACGCTATGTGGACACACAGCTGGAAAGTGCAGATGTCGCTGCCGTCGACATTTTTCAGGATATGTTCATATTGGGAACCAATGACACCCGCGAATGCCATGCACATGCTGACAGGTATGTGAGGTATGTGTTACCTTGATGTAAACATCAAACGCTAGGCCGCGAGGCAGGGCAAGTGTCAGCAGTCCGATATTGCCTGACATGAACACGACATGATACGACATGAACACATTTTTCAATGCGTAAACGTTTTATCTTGACCACTTTCCCCACCCAGCAGCAATCAACAAAATCTGTGAATTCAGGCTGCCACCAGCTGGATGAAGGTGTCTAACCTTGGGAGTACAAGAAAAGGCTTTGTGAAACTCCAGAAATAGCATGGCGTCCATTGCATCCATGGCATTCCATGGCTCTCCATGGCTCTCCATCGCTGAGGATCTCTTTGGGTGCGAAAATGCTGATAGTTTCAGCTGCTTCGTTGCGAGTTCAGCCTCGAAGGTGGGTGGAGTTACCATCGCTTCGTCATGTGTTCTCAGTTGTCGTCGAGTTGCAACGACTCAGAGTACTTCCTTGCAACTGGTTTTGTCAACGTTGGCCTGTTTCTGATGCCGGAATGAACACGAACCGACCTGGCGATTGTTGACCCTCGACCCGACAGATGGAGCATTTCGTTTGGCCAAGCCTCGAGCAACTGATGAACTTCATCCACCGAGTTGCATTGCCTGATGAACGGAGACGGGGTGGTCGGGACCTACAGGGACTTTGACGCGAACCCATGTCATACTTCGATACAGTAACCCTTCGTTAGCTCTTAGTTGACTCTAAAATTCCATAGGTATTTAACTTTAACCCATAGTCCCATAGTCATCGAATCAACTACATTTTGTGAGTTCAACATGCAGAGAATTACATCCGAAGCTTTCTTTGAGTTTTGTTGGCGTTGTGCTCATAACATACCAAGCTCCCACGGGAATTGCTAGTGTGCTGGGACTTTGGACTTGTGTTTCTTCTTGGTGAGATTGGATCTCTTGTCACTTAAAGAGTTATGTTTATATTAATATATATATACACATACACTATACATATATATATAGAGTACAGTATACACATTGACATAGATATACGCATGTTGTATATATATATATACAATACATACAGAACACACACACACAGACATGTGCATGTATGTGTACAATGTATATATATATATATATATACGTATACATATATATATATATATTGTACACATATGCATACATACATGCATGCATGCATGCATACATACAAATTCAAATGCAAATACAAATGCAAATGCAAGATATAATATAATAAATTCTAATACAGTACAATACAATACAATACAATACCAATACAATGCAATACATTGGAACCGCCATCAGTGACTGCACGCCCCGAGTGCACCCAGCGCACCCGGCGCACTCAGCACAGCCAGTTCGCAACGCAATCTGCAGTCACGGATTACCGCTGCACTTTATATCTCTATCTCTATCTCTATATATGACGGTCCCTGGATCGCCACACCGCCTCCTCCCATGTTATGTCCCCTCCCCTCCTCTCCCACAAACCTGAAATCTGCAAGCTATTTACAGCACTTGGGAGCCACCACCTCGTCACTGGACCCTGTCTAGCTGCATATGTCTAGCAAATCAATCTAGCACACCCCAGTTCATGTACTGCCTATAGCGTACCTCACACATGGTTTACCACTCATTGTATGCCTTTATGCTACATATTTGCTACCTAAAGACTACATACTGTACTCAGAGCGTAGCTATGCATACGTATATAATCCTATGTACTACACGCTAGGATGCAGCAAGTACCTACAAATATATATATATATATACGCAGCACGTACCTACAAATATATAATAATAATAAATAAATAAATATATATATATATATATATATATGCATATGCATATGCATATGCATATGCATATACATATACATATGGAAATAGACATACACTACCTAAATAGAATATTCAACATTACCGAACTAATATTGTATTATATACCTATGTGCAATGTTGTAGAATATACATTGCTTCATCACTACCTACATACTCCTTACACCCTACAGTTACTACCTTCACTGACACATGTTCTATAGCGTACCTATATACGATGCATTGCATAGCGTGCCCATATACATGCGGATAATACTCCCTGAAAACTCCCTATATCCTCTCCACATATTCCCTATAAACGGGACATCAACTTACACCTGCACAAAGACTGCCCATGTAGGACTGTTGTTGGGAACCCCCCAGGGCACAAGGGGGGGAACCATCTGGCTGGGGGGAGGTGTGGTGAATCCTGCTCCTATATTATATACATATCATATTATAATATATGATCTTATATGTAATAATTATTATATATGTATATATTATTTTTTACTACATTAATATATTAATATATATATACATGATTATATATAATAATAAATATATTTTAATATATATATACATATTTTTTTTGCAATATATATATATATCTATAGAACAAAAATATATTATACTTATACATATTAAAGTATGTATATATTTATTGATATATATATTTATCATATATATATATATAAATATGTTTATACATATATATATACATATAAATATGTTTATTAATATACACACATATGTATATATACATACCTATTTATATATATATACATTAATTTAACTCTTAATATATATATATATATTGAAATGATTAATATGTATACCTTAATAAACTATATACTAATATATTTATGTATTGTAATATTGTATGGTATAATATTGTCATATATTATATTATTTTTATTATAATTATAATATACTATATTTTGATATATTATATTAATTTATATTATATTATGATTATATGATATATTATCTTAAGATATATTAAACTAATATATATATATATATTAAATACTATACTATCTTATATTATAATATATTATTTAATATTTTGATATATTATATTATATTATATTATATTATACTATATTTCATTATTGTATATTATATTATACATAGCTATATATATATATACATACATATATTATATATAGAGAGAGGATTGAAGCAAATATCCAGCTGATCCAACTGGACCATTCCATGACCAGGAGCTGGGAACTGATGCATGCAGCTGTGACCAGCGTGGAAGAAAAGAAACGCATCGCCGAGAACAACGAGGCGGGAATGGTCACCGAGTCCTGGAAGGAGATGATGATCAAAGGCCTTGGAATAGGTAGGATAGGTAGGCATTCCAAGCTGTTCAACTTCAGCATCCAAGACTTTATCTTGAAAAAAATGAAACAATAAGAGCATCAACTTGGCAAGGTGAGGCTTCAGAAGGGATGAATTGACCCAATGGGGTCTGTTTTTTTCTGTCCAAAGGGTTTGTGACTTGTGGTGGACTTGGTGCAGGGGCCAGAAAGGCCAGAAAGGATCTTGCTTCCAATGCAGAAGCTGGTTCGGAATGCGGCCAGGGAGGCAGGGGAGCCACAGCGTAGTGATACGTAGCTTGTAGGCCAAGAGGGGAATCCATATCACAATCAAATACACTCGTAGATGCCGATACAAACCAACGAAACGCCTGATGGGTTCAATGTACCAATCCAAGGGGGTTAACTTTTTATCAATACAGAGGTGCCTTACAAATGAAACCATGGGTAGATATTCTATGGATTCTGTGAAATTGTGTCAAATCATGCTAAGACTTGTCCCAAAACTGGACTTTTGCCCAGGTCCCCATGTTTTTTTTCCGCGGTGTGCTTCAGGCGGCCTTGAAGGCAGCGCAGGAGATGGGGCTGAGGGAGGTGCGTCCTCCCAAGCCGCCACGATCCAAGTTCCCCGAGGCGGGTGACTCCGAACGTCAGCAATGGATAGTAGTGGATAGCACCAATATTTCTGATGATTTTTAAGCATCTTTGGAATCTTTCCAAGATAATATACCACGTTTCCGGGTGAAATCTTTTGGGCAGGTTTTTTTTCTCGAAGAAAGTGACACAACCAATGATAGATGACCACGGCACGGATGTCTTCATGAAAGGCTCTAAACATCTGTGGCCTCAGCCAACCTACGACATGGCGCGATGCTTGACGAAGCAGTCACTTCCTCTCACAGCTTCCAAGGGACACCATAGTGACTATGCCACCCTGGATTCCCACTCGTTTTTGTTGAGTGTTACTTTTTATGCATTTTTAGGGACATTTAGATTTGGATACCGTAGCCATATGTGGCCATGCCACGTTGCTGTTGGTCAATGGGCTGGCAGGTGATGCCTGACACAGATGACGAAGCGGAGGGATCTGTGGAAGGGTCCTTTGGCAAAAGAGCCTGCAGGGATTGTTGGAGCATAGTATAGATTCTAGCTTCAGAACAAAGTGAACATGACCATGCATGAGTTGGGTCAAGCTCACATTATTGAAAGAACATTGTCCAGAGTAGCAGTGGCAGTCAGGGTTCCGACCTGCCATGTCAGATGACAAGAGCACTATCAATCTGCAGAGCATGAGGTGATTTAAACTATCCGGAAATCGTGTTTCCTAAGCCTTCAGCAAATTATATATCCCAAGATGAATCGCAGATTGTCCTGCACAAACTTCCCAGGTCTGAACATGAAGAGGTGCAAGAACGCGGCAATGTTGAGCAGCGGCTAAAGCTGAAACCAGACGGGCCGAAGAAGGTCAATTAAATGGATTGAAATCGCCTTATTTGGATACCTAAAATGGGACCCCTAAAATGGGACACGATACAACTTGAATGGGAAACGGTTGGAAAGGGCTGGAAAACGGCTGGAAACGGCTGGAAACGGCTGGAAGCGGCTGGAAGCGGCTGGAGGGGGATCCTCTCAGGGCATTGCCTTCGGCATTGAGGTGCATCCGGCCTTTTGCCTTCGTTCGAAAGTTGAAGGCCGAAGGATTTCGCCCTGGCGCTGCGTTGCCAGGCAGGGCCGTGGGCGATGGGACCCAGGGAGGCTGCAGCATATATGACTTGGGGACATGGCCATCTTGAACTTGGCAGATGCGCAAATTGGAGGCTTCAGGTGATGTTGACATTTGGTAATGGAATGGACCCTTGACTCTGTCGGTTGTCAAGGGTGCGCATTTGGAAGGAAACGGCCGGTTTACTTTGCCGAAATTCTTTTGCACCAACGGAGCACAGAATGGACCAACTTGGATATCTCGAACCAAATTTGTGCCCTCAGTCCATGGTTTCCACAAGCTATAGATGCTCACCTATCCAGTTTTCCCCTTCACAACTGGCGTTTTCTTGCTTCATGTTGGATTCTGGTGCTATCCCGGGCCATCGGTGCTCCCTTCGTCCAGAAGATGCAGGCACTCGGCTCTTCACAATCTTAGACCGAGCACCTTGGTGGGGGTCCAGAGGCCCTGCCGAAGTTGGGGTCCAAGAGATGGTTCCCAAAACTTCTTAGTCTATTTTGATCTATTTTGATCTATTTTGTATAATCAGCAACACCCATGCAACCAGGATTTTTGAGGAGACTGTTCGGAAGACCCCTAGGAAGATCTGCTGTGACCACGTGCACATTTCTTTTGGGGTGGGGTTCTATCGACCTTCACGGTTCCTGCAGGCAACTCCGACCTTGAAGGTGACCCCCCACAGACAAGTTGGAATAAGAAGGGCAGAGTTGGATTTGAAATACCGAGGAAGCTGGGAAAGGATGGGAAAGGTGCATCTCACGGCCCATGCCGCATGCCCTACATGGCATCCGAGGATCGAGATGGTGTCCTCTCCAAGAAGGATGGGGTGCTTGCCAGCTTGGTGGAGGGTTCTTTGCGCCCAGTGACGCATGAATTTTGAACCGCTTGGCTGTGCATTCATCGGGTTTGTTTCTGCGGGTGTGTTTGGATGGTATGTTGATGTTCCTGGACCTGATGCAGATGCCTTCCTTTGGTTGGAAACGGCTGTGGTCAATGCCTGCCATCAGGATTTTTCTTTGCTCGATGTGGATTTCGCAGGCCCGGGATGTATAGTCGCAATCCTTTCCAGGGTGACCAGCCCCATTCACACTTATTCTATCTTATTCTTGCAAAGGGGGTGCTAAATCTGCATTGTCAAGGAGTGCAGCGAAATAATGTTAGGACCTTGGCATCACCGGAGCAACCTAGCCTGATTTGCAATGATGACAGTAGTTGGCAGTGCTGATAGAGCACAATCCGCAATGAAATTACCATCCTGCTCAGTAGCCATGGATGACAAGTGTCCCGTTTGTAGATGTTCATGATAGAGGTGCGTGGCCATGGTCACTATCCAGCCCCTTGATCCGGATGGTATGGTAGCTGCTTGCGCCAGGACCAGAAAATGTCAACGATGCCATCGGGCGGTTGCTGCAGAGACATGACATGGTGCATGACGTTGTTGCCAGAGAGACTTGCCCGCGCACGGCTTCACCTGCCGATTGGGATTATACGCACAAAAATACCTTGGGATTATCCACAAATACCTTGTTAGGGACAGAAGGCTGGTTTCTTTTATTCTTGAGGCATGAACTGAACGCACCCTGGGTACTTGTGGTTGGCCGGGGTCAGTTCTGATCAGATGTTCAGAGGTTTTTTGGTGTGATGGAACCAACAACTATCCACCACATGCTGTTTCGTACCATGAAAATCTAAGGCTCTTGCTGAGAGTATTTACTTGTCTTCCAGAGTCGAAGCTTGACGTGGTAGGTGGTAAGAAACTTCAAAGCAAGACGTCACTTCAGAATACCAACCCTCGGGCTCGAATGTATCCAAAAGGATTTGGCGGGCAACCAGAACAAGTTGGAGAAGAAGCGCCTGGTGGAATGCATGGTAACTGGGCTTGGTGTGTTATGATTACGCCATTTCCAGTTCCATTCGCAGGCACCGTTCCCC